ATGCAGGCCACATCTGCTCTAATTTAAAGCAGTATCATATCACTTTAAACCTTCATGGCTTTCCCCCAAATAATTCTGATTCCTGGGAAATGTACTTTGTTAAGTGTGCAGAGAGACAGATAAAATCTTTATTTGCGTCAGCCACAAACCACAGCAAAGGAATCAAATACAGTAGGATACAGATATAGCTGGCTGGCTATACAAAATATGTTCTGAAAATTTACAACTATACAAATGAAAGAGTTAAAAACTGTCCTTGACCACAAACAAAACATGAACAGAGAGCTGTTAGGAGAGCACTATTCCCTACACAGAGCTACAACTCAATCTCTCTTCCCGGGGATCTGTGTTACTTAATAAGGTTTGCATCATTTCCGCTGCCTAGACATCCTGCTCTACTCTAGTCATTTTAGTTAGGCAGGATAGGAAAGCTCAAGCAAAGCATGTGATCAACAACACATACCCAGAAATCCTGTCCACATTTCTCAGGTTGAACAAGTCGAAAGCATGACAAGAAGAGAAATTCCATAGAGATGTCCAAAATTCAGCTGGATCCACCAGTCTTTGGGATGGACCATTCTGATCAGGTTATCTCAAGTAGTACACACTTTCACAGGAACTGATCATGCATATAGGTTTGTAGAATTGTTTTACCTCTCAGCCACAGATTTTACTATGAAGTTCTTAAAATTTGCTGTTCTCAAACTCAGATAACAATACCAAACAGACATGTTTCTCCATTGTGCCTTTTTGCCAAGATACAGTTCAGAGGTCAAACAACTTAACCATATTTGTACTTTTGCCTTTTAAATATTAACTGTTGTGACGTAAAAGATTGCATCACAAATTACATGAGATTAGCAAGGTTTATTGGAAAACTCAATTGTAAGCTTAGCTTTCAAATACAGTGGTACCTCAGGTTACATACGCTTCAGGTTACAGACTCCACTAACCCAGAAATAGTACCTCAGGTTAAGAACTTTGCTTCAGGATGAGAACAGAAATTGTGCTCCGGCAGCGCGGCAGCAGCAGAAGGCCCCATTAGCTAAAGTGGTGCTTCAGGTTAAGTACAGTTTGAGGTTAAGAACGGACCTCCGGAACGAATTAAGTACTTAACCCAAGGTACCACTGTAATTAAATAATAATAATTAGCAGGATTTTGAATCATTATTTTTTGGGAAATGATAATTTTTCTCACTGCTCTACAATAAAAACATCAATCAATATTGGACTAGTACCAGATAGTGAGAAACAGACCTCTTACTGCAAACAAAGGAAGAGTTATCTCTGGCTCATTTATGATATATAGCTTAGTTTTAAAGAAACAGAATAGTAGTGACAGAATACTCATCATATATGTTCAATATACCGCATCTTTCGCCCTATAGGGCGCACTGGCCCATAGGGCGCACCTCGTTTTTTGGGGGGGAAATTAAAAAAAAAATTATTCCCCAGCCCCCAGAACAGGCTGCTATCCGCAAGCCTTGTGAGCCCAGCGGGAACTCCCGCCGGGCTCGCAAGGCTTGTGGACATCTACGCGAAGCACGGGGCATGCTCCGGAGCACGCCCCGTGTTTCAGGCTGCTGCCCGCAAGCCTTGGAAGCCCGGCGGGCACTCCCGCCGGCTCCCAAGGCTTGCGGATAGCTTCCTGAAGCCTGGAGAGCGAGAGGGGTCAGTGTGCACCGACGCCTCTCGCTCTCCAGGCTTCAGCGAAAGCCTGCATTCACCCCATAGGACGCACACACATTTCCCCTTCATTTTTGGAGGGGAAAAAGTGCCTCCTATAGGGTAAAAAATATGGTATTAAGCCATAGTAAATGTGTCATAGCATATATTTAGTGATATATCTTCAACACTGCTATAAAGTCACACAGTTTTAAGGCACATTTCTAAATGCAATATTGTTATTTCAGAAACCTTGGGAAAATGTCACACTATTACTAAGTCATGGGAATGTGTGTTGGGGTGGGGGAGAGACATCAAGAAAAGGGAAGAGACACAAGCCACAGACTTGTCCAGAGTGATTGTGTCAGAGGTTGGAGAATTACTTTCAAAAGACTCCATTTCCTACAACCAAGTTAATGTAAAGGGATTTTTTAAATAGCATCTTAAGTAGCCTATTTAGCTTAGATTAGAATGTTATGCTGTAATGAGTTTCTAACTCTCCCTCAGAAAATAATGTTCAATAAACATCAAGAACTAGTGTGCCCTGTCACTCAGTCGCTGGAACAACTGCTGCATTTGTTATTGTTACATGTTATTGCTGGACAGTTATCAGGAAGTGCTCACCTACAACTGTATGCATGCACAGCCTAAACAAATAGCCAAAAAGAATTAAATGCTGATGGACTGATGAAAATTGTTATTTCATTTGACAGTTGGCTTGGAGCAACAGTGGCCAAGAAGCCAAATTTAGCCTTATCAGTCCCCAGTGATGTAGTGTAGAAAACCTTGTGTGGTGGGCGGGGGGGGGGGGGGGTGGAATCAATTTTCAGAAATACGTCACTTCAAAAATTAATTCATAACACAATGAATGGATACAACCCCATTCAAACTGGGCAATTTCAAAGCTGTAGTTAACGTTTTTAGATTATTATAAAAAAATTGAATGCACTGCTCTGCTTAAAATCAGAATGTTAAATTTTCTATGCTTCATTTCCTTAAAATTCATTCCATGTATGGTATTCTCATCTTAAAATATAAGTATTAAATAAATACAACTGTACTTTACTAAATTGGTTTTTAATAAAATATTTCAGTTTACATGGCGTATCAGAATATTACTATACAGTAGTGAACTTTTCCAGGGACGCGGGTGGCGCTGTGGGTAAAAGCCTCAGCGCCTAGGGCTTGCCGATTGAAAGGTCGGCAGTTTGAATCCCCGCGGCGGGGTGCGCTCCCGTTGTTCGGTCCCAGCGCCTGCCAACCTAGCAGTTCGAAAGCACCCCCAGGTGCAAGTAGATAAATAGGGACCGCTTACAAGCGGGAAGGTAAACGGCGTTCCGTGTGCTGCGCTGGCTCGCCAGATGCAGCTTGTCACGCTGGCCACGTGACCCGGAAGTGTCTCCGGACAGCGCTGGCCCCCGGCCTCTTGAGTGAGATGGGCGCACAACCCTAGAGTCTGTCAAGACTGGCCCGTACGGGCAGGGGTACCTTTACCTTTACCTAGTGAACTTTTCCTCATTCTACCACCCAAGGGGCTCACCCTACTTCAAGTTAAGTTGCTCAGAGGCAACTATAACATTACCATTAACACAGGTGACCAGAAGAAATCCCCACAAATAGAGAGGAGGGGAGGAAAATCAGAGCTTCTGTATCTTTTTAAGGGGGTACAGAATACTCTGCTTTTTAAGGGAGCCCATACCCCTACTGCATTCCTGGCCAGAATAATGTCACGGTTCACTTGGGTGAACCACCAGCCTTGGGGCCAAGGGACAACAGAGGTTTGTGCCTGGAAGAACTTCACAGCAGGGGAAGGAGCAGCAGCCCCAAAGCAGCAGGTGCAGGAGCAGCTGACCTGCCTGCAACCGCCAGCATGGCTAAAGGTTGAGGGTGATGGGCGCTTTGGTCCAGCAACCACCAGAAATATTCTTGTAGTAGTGGGATGAAGTGAGACTTGAAGCAGCTCACACTCATGCAGCCCAATCCCACTCACATTCCCTAAGAAACAAAGGTTACAAATACAGTGGTACCTCGGGTTAAGAACTTAATTCCTTCTGGAGGTCTGTTCTTAACCTGAAAATCTTCTTAACACCACTTTAGCTAATGGGGCCTCCCACTGCTGCTGGAGCACGATTTCTGTTCTCATCCTGAAGCAAAGTTCTTAACCGAGGTAATATTTCTGGGTTAGCGGAGTCTGTAACCTGAAGCGTCTGTGACCCAGGTACCACTGTCCCATGTAATGTAGTTTTGTGTTTTTATGTTGTGAACAGCCACCACCAGCGCAGGCCCTTAAAACAACGTGAATTTCATATCATCTTCCTTGCAGCAAGCCTCCCTCTCCTAAGGGGCCAGTTCCAATTCAGAGTGCTTTGGCATCACTAGGAGGGGAGCAAGCGCTGATTTGGACGCTGCGCGGTTCCCACCGCGCAGGGCGGCCAAGGGGCGCAAAACACAACATTGAACAGATCCGCTTAAAAGCAATTACCAAATGAATTATGCGAAAATAGAATATTTGAGAGGGCGCCAAATGTTGTCCGCCCAGACGCCGCTTGAACGAAGCAGTGGGGGCGGAGGCGGGCTTGGAATTCCCGCACGCCTTCCCTCTCAGGCCGGCTCCCTCACAGGGTGGTTGTGGGGGCGAAATGCCGGGGAGCCCCGCCCGCCCCCCCCCCGAAGCCCCTGGGAGGGAGAAAAGGTCGGGGCAGGAATAATAAAAGCCATGGAAGTTTCAAAATTTATATATGTGGAGAGAGAGGGGAGAGCGAGAACCCTGAGGCCGCGTCAGGCCCACAAAGGCGGGAGGCGGGAAGGGGCCCGATCCTCCGCCGCCTCTTTCCCTCAGCCGCGCAGGAGACCGGCAAAGGTCACCTCTCGACGCCCTTGCGCCTCCCTCCCTCCCTCCCTCCCTCCATGGAGCGCGCGCAGCGGGGGGGGGGCGCCGCTCACCATCCTCCGTGGCTGCGGGTGGCGGCTGCAGGTCGGCGGGCCCCTCTGGCGCGCGTGGACGGCGGCGCCCCTGGCGCAACTCAGGCGCTGGAGGGAGCGGAGCGAGCGGTACATGGCGGAGGCTGCGGGCCGGAGGAGGAGGAGGAGGAGGACAGAGTGGACGGAGTCGCAGCCAATGGGAGGGAAGGGAAGGAGGGTTTCGCCCGCCCCCATGCTACCTGCGCCAGCCAATCAAGGAAACGGAGCAGGGCTTTAAAAAAAAAAAAGCAAAGGGGGCTGGGTATGACGAGGACAGCCAATGAAACAACTGCTGCGCGATGCAATGAGCAGGCGCGGGAGCGATTCTCGCAGCTTTTCTGCTGCGCTCCCTCCTGGCTGCCAGCCTGTCAAATTCCCTGGTGGTCTAGTGCTTAGGATTCCGCGCTCTCACCGCTGCGGCCCGGGGTTCGATTCCCGGTCAGGGAACACTTCTTTGGGATGCGGGTGGCGCTGTGGTCTAAACCACTGAGCGTCTTTGGCTAGCTGATCAGAAGGTTGGCATGACAGGTGTGAGCTCTCGTTCTTCTGCCCAGCTCCTGCCAACCTAGCTGTTCAAAAGCACACCAGAGCAAGTAGATAAATAGATGTACCACTGCGGCAGGAAGGTAAACAGCGTTTCCGTGCGCCCTGGTGTCCCTCACGGTGTTTCTTTGCACCAGAAGTGGTTTAGTCCTGCTGGCCACATGACCCAGAAAGCAGTCTGTGGACAAATGCCGTCTCCCTCAGCCTGAAACGAGATGAGCGCCATAACCTTTGACTGGACTTAACCATCCAGGGGTCCTTTACCAATTCCTGCCACCTGTTGCAAAAACAGTGGTCCGCCCTGAGTATCATTATATTTGAATTTGAAGGAAGAGCCATTATTTAGTTTAGGTTTATCCCCCTTCCATTTATGGTTTTCTTGCTTCCTATATTACTATTGTTGCCAGTTCTCTTCTGTAACTAAAGGGGGGGAAGGACTAGATGCAGAAACTGTTTCACAACTGCTTGTTAAATCGCATTGGGTTCCCCGGGGGAAGATAAAGCCACCCTGAGAACTCTGGAAATTCAATAAATAATAATGATAAAGCAACTAAATTAAATAAATAATAACTTGTAGTTGGGTTCAGATCCCAACATGGCATAAAATAGTAACTTGTTCACTATGCCTAAAGTTAATCAACTACCTTACCCCACGTGCCCACTTTGATTGGCAGAACTGGCACTGCTGCAGCTGCCACATAACACCAGTTCTGCATTTGCAGCAGCTGCACTTTGGAACTCCCTGCCTATTGAAATCCAGCACTGTACACTTCACTGTACACTTTTTGGCACCTGCTGAAAGCATCCGTTTTTAGGCAAGTCTACCCAGATGCTTGAGGTGTAGTTTAATGTTTTAGTAATTTTAACTTTTTGTATGTTTTAATGTATTGTTTTTTCTTGATTTATCTTTTTGTAAACTGCTTTGAGGTTGTTGTTTTTTACAATCAAGTGGTGTATAAATTTTATGAAATAAAAATTAAAAATAAAGGCTGTTGTATAAGCAACCATCAGTGCAATCATTTGCCTGTTTGAGCAGGAAATCACAATTGAGTTCAACAGGGTTTATGCCCAGGTAAATGACTACAGATTTGCAGCCCTGTTCTTATGGGAGTCTGCTGCCTCTTCCCATATTTCATCTTATGGCAGAGACCAACACAGGTTTTAATTCCATTTTATTTTTATTTGCTCCACTGGTTGCTTTTCAGAGCCAAGCTCTCAAACCAATATCCAGGAAGAAATGAAACAACAGAACCCTAGTCAGGGTTTGAAGCACAGAGTAAATACAGACAAGAAGTAGGTGCATGAGAGATATTGAATTGGATTACCAAAACTATCTTAAGGAAGGGCAGTGGTAAAAATAATTTTAAGGACTTACCGAATGCCAGAATGGAAGGGGCCAAGCAAATGTTAACTGGAAGAGTGTTCAACAACTGGAACCTAACAGTTCTTACCAGCTAGCATGTCAAGTAGGACCTCAATCTTACATGACATTAATAATAATAATAATAATAATAATAATAATAATAATAATAATAATCTTTTATTTGTATCCCGCCCTCTCTGGCCAAAACTGGCTCAGGGCGGCTTCCATCAAATATATAACATTGGTATAAAATCAAACAAAAATTACCTCCTAAAAATAAGCCAGGATCAAATTAAAATCTAATTAGATGGCTTTCTGCAGGATTAGGGTTGGGAACAGTAAATGTTCATTAGGCCCAACTGTTTACGCTGATCTTATATGGGCCTGTGAGAATGCTGGGAGGCCTCTTTCATACTAGTTCTTATACAAAAAGAGAAGGGGAGTCAGGCTGAACCCCGACCAAAGGCCTGGCAGAACAACTCCATCTTACAGGCCCTGCGGAAAGATGTCAAATCCCACAGGGCCCTGATCTCTTGTGGCAGAGCGTTCCACCAGGCCGGGCCAGCCTAATCTCTCAGGGGCCCGGTATCTCCAAGCTGCTGTTATTTGCAGACCGTAAGGTCCTCCGTGGGTGCATACCAGGAGAGGCAGTCCCGTAGGTACGAGGGTCCTAGGCCGTATAGGGCTTTAAAGGTTAAAACTAGCACCTTAAACCCAATCCTGTACTCCACTGGGAGCCAGTGAAGCTGGTATAACACTGAATGAATGTGATCCCGCGACGAAGACCCCATTAAGGAGTCTCGCCGCGGCATTCTGCACCCACTGGAGTTTCTGGGTCAGCTTCAAGGAGTGAATTACAATAATCAAGCCTGGAGGTGACCGTCGCATGGATCACAGTGGCGAGATCAGGGTGAGAGAGGTAAGGGACCAACTGCTTAGCATGGCAGAGATGGAAAAATGCCGCCTTTGTTGAAGCTGCAGCCTGCACCTCCATAGAAAGGGAGGCGTCGATGATTACACCCAAACTCTTGACAGAAGGCACTGGCGCTAATTGCACACCTGCAAGAGATGAGAGTCATAAAGGAGCAAACAGTCCTTTAGGTAACCCAGTCCCAAACTGTTTAGGGCAGGCTTCCTCAACCTTAGCCCTCCAGATGTTTTGAGACTACAATTCCAATCATCCCTGACCACTGGTCCTGCTAGCTAGGGTTCATGGGAGTTGTAGGCCAGAAACACCTGGAGGACCGAGCTTGAGGAAGCCTGGTTTAGGGCCTTAAAGATTAATACTAATGCATGAGTTGGGCCTAGAAATACAATGCAACAACAGAAATGTGTTCAAACCTTCTGGCCCTCATTAGCATCCCAACACTTGTATTTTTCACCAGTTAGTTTCTGAGCTGCTTTCAGAGGCTGCCTCACATAAAGGGCATTGCAGCAGTCCAATCTGAAGGCAAGGAGAGCATGAGCGACCAGGGCCAGGTCCTACCACTCCAGATGGGGCCTGAGCTGCATTCTTGACTATTGCCCTACCTGCGCCTCTCCAGATAGCAGTGAGTTCAAGAGCAGTTCCAAGATGTATACCTGGTCCTTCAGCTGTTTCACAAGTGTCCCAGATTCCCTGGGAGTTGTAGGTGGAAAAGAAAGGTAAAGGTGTGTGCTATGAGCATATTGATGGCAACACATCCCAAATATTCAATGACTTCTCCCAGCTGTTTCATGTAGATGTTGAGGAGTATTGGGGATAACATGGACGCCACAAGGCAGAGGTAATGGGTGGCCAGAACTCCCAGCTTTATCACTTAAAACATAAAGCCAGCTATTTTCTCTTTCTCCACCAACCCAACATTGTGTAACATCCAGCCTGATGGAAAAGTTCTGGGGAACTCTCACTACAGTGTGAAATTTTGGTGAGTCTTCATGAAAGGTATTGTCTTACTCTGAATTTTAATTAAGCAGTATAAATAGCTTAAATAAAGGTTAGGTGCAAATGCTCCATTTATAAACATAGCATTTTCTCTCTCTAGAGCAAGCATCTCAGAAAGTGTGTTTGGGAGGGTAACAAACCAATCAGTCAAACATGTTCTTCTCAGCCCTTGTGGTGTGGAACCTCTCTTTGGCCAGTAGTGCATCATGGTACAATACAGTGGTACCTCGCAAGACGAATGCCTCGCAAGACAAAAAACTCGCTAGACGAAAGGGTTTTTGGTTTTTTGAGCTGCTTCGCAAGACGATTTTCCCTATGGGCTTGCTTCGCAAGACGGAAATGTCTTGCAAGTTTGTTTCCTTTTTCTTAACACCGTTAATACAGTTGCGACTTGACTTCGAGGAGCAACTCATAGAACGTGGTGTGGTAGCCTTTTTTGAGGTTTTTAAAGACTTTGGTGATTTTTGAAGCTTTTCCAAAACTTTTCCGACACCGTGCTTCGCAAGACGAAAAAAATCGCAAGACGACAAAACTCGCGGAACGAATTAATTTCGTCTTGCGAGGCACCACTGTATTGCAAGCCTTTTCTGAAGACATAATCTGTGTAGCCAGCCATTCACTTCTGGTATTCATTCTCTTTTTAGCCCAAAACCTTCAGCAGGGAGGAGTAACAAACCACCAACTGTGTGGTACCAAGAGCCTCATATTCACTTGCAGTGTGTTCAAAGCTGAGTGTGGCAGTACCATTTTTCATGATGCGAATCAGCAGAAAGGGCTAACAGTCAGTGGGCTTGATAAGCTTTCCAGTACATCCTAGATGTATATACCAGAGAGACAGCACACCTCCTTGTAAGTTGTATGCAGTTGTTGTTGTTGTTGTTGTTGTACCCCACCCATCTGGCTGGGTTTCCCCAGCCACTCTGGGTGGCTTCTAGCAAAATATAAAAGTATAATAAAACATCAAACATTAGAAACTTCACAATACAGGGATGTATTGGGAATTTATATAATTAAGTCTCTTTTTTCATAATTTCCCCATGAATTTTTGTATTTTAAGCTTTTATTTGTGAACTAAGACGCGGGTGGTGCTGTGGGTTAAACCACAGAGCCTAGGACTTGCCGATCAGAAGGTCGGCGGTTCAAACCCCTGCGACGGGGTGAGCTCCCGTTGCTCGGTCCCTGCTCCTGCCAACCTAGCAGTTCAAAAGCACGTCAAAGTGCAAGTAGATAAATAGGCACCGCTCTGGCGGGAAGGTAAACAGCGTTTCCGTGCGCTGCTCTGGTTCGCCAGAAGCGGCTTAGTCATGCTGGCCACATGACCCGGAAGCTGTACACCGGCTCCCTCGGCCAATAAAGTGAGATGAGCGCCGCAACCCCAGAGTCGGCCACGACTGGACCTAATGGTCAGGGGTCCCTCTACCTTTACCTAAGACATGTATAGCCAGAGACATGTGTATAAAATATTTATGTTCTACTATTTCTGGGGTGTTCTTGGATTCTGCATAAAAGGAGACTCCATCCCCTTTTAAACATCTTCAGAGAGGCAGGGGTGAATAAAGAGGGTGTTTCAACTAAAGATATCTGGAATTCTTACTCATGGAGAAAAGCTTCTGGAAA